TGTATCTATTTACAGATCCAACTTTTTCTTCCTGAATTCCCCCAAGCATTGGGCTCTTCTGACCACTTTTCAGTCCCTTTCCTTCTCTCTATGACCCTGAACTTCTCTTGTAGCCTCCCATTCCATTCCATTCCATTCCGTTCCGTTCCATTCCACTGCATTCCATTCCGTTCAGTTCTGTTCCATTCCATTCCATTCCATTCAATTTCATTCCATTCATTTCCTATTCTATCTATAGAAGGTAGATTTCTATTCTAAATCCTTTATGGGCATCTCCTCCCTCGCCTGCCTTTAGAGTCAGTGTTTCTTAGGTTTATCCTCAGCACACTGGTCTCACACTATTCACCCTGCCACACCCCTGAGTTCTCCTCAGGAGGACCAGGTTTCACTACAGCCCTCACCTGGAAAGAGGTGAGCCAACCCAGGTTACTGACAAAGAGACTTTCATCTTTGGCCTGGGTAATACCAATACCTTAACACCTAAGTGAGCTCTTGATTTTCTTCCTTTGGCCACTGAATTAGTCAATATTAGCCTTGAATAAATAGTGTAAAGAGTAGAATGATCACTTAGTGGGCAAGCCATAAAATGCACTATCACCCAGTGGTCACTCATAGAGGCTCTGGAATTAGAGCTATAAGCTGTAGATTTGAAGCTCCGCCCTGTATTAATTGAGAAGCCTTAAGTTGTGCCTCACTTTCTTCATTTATAAAATGGAGATAAGGTATTAGCACTTTTACTACTGAAGTACAGTAAATACATAACATAAGCTATTAGCACCAGCCTCTAAATCTCAATTTCTTTTTGAAACGATATGCTTATTTCTACTTTCCACAGTTGCAGTAAGAACCTGAGAAAGTGTCTATAGCACTGGCATGTCATTGGCACTAAAATCTGTCGGTTCAATTTATAATGGAATTTTTCTTTGGAGTCAGATTTTCAGAATGCATGTTCTCTTCTATTTTTTTCCAAGCAGAAACTACGACTTGGTTAGACTTTGTGTGTTTTCAGTTATCCGTTGAACTTTCCTTTGGATGCCTGGAGAGCAGCATCCCCACCTTTGAGAATTTCACAATGGCAATGCACAACCAAGCTGCTTGGCCAGATGAGTTAATTCGGGTGCCTTTTAGGTGTGATTTACGTCAGCAGTTCTCAAACTTTAGCAAGGAGGGCTTGCTAGTCACAGAATTCCCAGAAATTCTGAGTCAGTAGGTCTGGGGCAAGGTCCTCAGATTTGCATTTCCCACAACTTCCCAAGTGATACTGAACTGGTACTTCTGGACCAGGGACCACATTTTGAGTAGCTCTGGTTCGCACAGACAAGGTGGACAGGCTTTTGGAAATAAGTCAACTGGGCATCAACCTTTATCAAGATAAACAAAAATAGTCACACTGCCAGTATAATCAATGTTAATAGTGTCTAAGACCATAACAATAATAACAATAGGCATTTATTTGATTGGGGGCTATGTACCAGGCTTTTTTTTTTAAAGTCCTTTGCACATAATAAATTTATTTTATAGTTTTATTTTCTGAATGTCTTTAAAAATTAATAATAGCATTCTCTGGATCATCCCTATGATCATCTTATATTGCCATTCAAACTAAAAGCCCTCATTTTTGTTTGTGTCCATGATTTTATTAACAGCAAGAGGCATGGTTTATTTGTCAAAATCTTGGAGAAAGTGGAAATATGCATGGGATGTCCTCAGCTAAGGGGTAGCCAGATTGGGCCCTAGATGAACCACAATTTGGAAGAATCAGTCTTTTGAACAAAGACTTGCAGCAGGGAAGTGAAGCCTCACATGACCTGCGGCATAGGCATACCACACTCAAAGAACCTGTGCTTTATTTAAAAAATACATATATAATTATATATCTATATATCAATTATGTAGATATAGATATAGATATAGATATAGATATAGATATAGATATAATTGATAGAAAGGGAAAGGGAGAGAGGGATAGAAACATCAGTGATGAGAGAGAATCACTGATCAGTTGCTCCTACACATCCCACACTAGGGATCCAGCCCGCAACCCAGGCATATGCCCTGACTGGGAATAGAACCCGGGACCCCTGGTTCATAGGTCAATGCTCAACCACTGAGCCACACTGGCTAGGCAGAACTTTTGTTTTAGTAACATTTTGAACAACAAAACCACATAGTATAAACCATCTATTATTTTATAGTTTTGTTTGTATTTAATTTATTAACTTCTTTTTGTTCTTTTGTTGCATAAAATCTTTTTGTATTAAAAAAATGCATGAGAAATTTAATAAAAAGCAATTTGAATCAACATGAGAAACAGCTCACTTCAAGAATGCAGCTAGGTGGCTGGGTTTGGAGCACTGTCCTGTACACCAAAAAAGTTGGGAGTTCAATTCCCAGTCAGGGCACATACTTTGTTTATGGGTTTGATCCCCAGTCAGGGAGTGTACAGGAGGCAACCAATTAATGTTCCTCTCTAAATAAATAAATAAATAAATAAATAAATAAATAAATAAAAGCATATCCTTAAGTGAGGATATTTTTTAAAAGAATGTTTCTCTCCTTTATAAAAAAAGAAAAGTATTTCTTGAATTATGCCCAAATATGCCATCCTATATGCTTCATCCTTAGATCCTCATTTTCCCTCTATAGAAGCAGACCTAGCCACTTTTTTACTAGAGCTACTATAAAGCTCTTTTTCTTTTTTGTAGGTCAATTGATTTCTCAAACCAATGTGTACGCTTTTTAAAATTATTTTTAAATATATTTTTATTGATTTCGGAGAGAGGAAGGAAAAGGAAGCAAGAGAGAGAAACATCAATGATGAGAGAGAATCACTGATCAGCTGTCCACTGCAGGCACCCTATTGAGGATCAAGCCCACAACCTAGGCATGTGCCCTGACCAGGAATCAAACCGTGACCTCCTGGTTTATGGGTGGTCGCTAAACTACTGAGCTTTGCTGGCGGGGCTAGAATTTTTTTTTTTTTTAATCCAGCTTTCATGCTGGTCATTTTGAAACTATTTTATTTTTCCTAACCAAACTAGCTACTCCTTCCTACTTTACTCATAATCTCTTTCTTTATAATTTCAGTGTTTTTTGAGATATAATAAACATATAACATTATGAAGGTGTATGTTGTACATGTTGACTGATGCACTTACTTATTGCAGAATGATGCCCACCATAGCCTTAGCTAACACCTCCATCCAGGCACATCAATGCCATTTCTTTTCTGTGGTGAGAACATTTAAGATCTACTCTCTTAGCAATTTTCAACTCTCTTTTAACTCTCACAAAATCAGATTTCCATCTCCAAAACTCTGCCTACTCAAGAAAAAAATTGTCACCAGCCAGCACCGGTTTGGCTCAGTGGATAGAGCGTCGGCCTGCGGACTGAAAGGTCCCGGTTCGATTCCGGTCAAGGGCATGTACCTTGGTTGCGGGCACATCCCCAGTAGGGGATGTGCAAGAGGCAGCTGGTCGATGATTCTCTCTCATTGACATTTCTAACTCTCTATCCCTCTCTCTTCCTCTCTGTGAAAAATCAATAAAATATATATATATATTTTAAATTGTCACCAAATATGGGGGTTGAAGGGCAATATTTACTCTTATCATTTGGAGGTTTGAAAGAATTAAGTAGTATAAAAGAGCCTGAAAATATTTTTACAAAGTAGAGTTATATATGCTAAGTACCAATGGTGATCATGGATTTTCATGGGTCATTCAAATAATGTTCATTCCACACTTACTGTGTAGCAGGCTCTGTGTTGGGTGTTATGGGAAGTAATAGAGCTGAAGACATCATCTATGCCTTCAAAGGGTTTACAAGTTCTCTTTTCATCTGTACAAGCTTGACTCTCCACAAAAAGAATAAGGATATATTGAAGGCCATAAATGAGATGTTTTAAGTTTTCTGTCTAGATCTGTTTTAATTTTTAAATGTGGGGCATAAACACCACTTTATGTTTTAAAAACCTAATGACAGCAAAGTGCCTAATGTAGTTTTTTTTTACACAATCTGATCATGTGAACTTTCAAAGGTTTGAAACGTCCTTGAGCCACTTTTATGTGGCTGTTTGTTTTTATGGCAATCACTGGCATCTGACTTTGGCACACCATTCAATAGATTCTGCTCAAGGGCAGTTATTATCCAGCTTCCAATGTCGTGGAAGCTAGCAGAGTGCCTAACACATGGTAGGCATTCCATATTTGTTGAATGAAGAAATGCAAAGGTAAATGGGTTAACCTCTATCCTTTCTTCTGAAATTTTACAAACTTACTACCTGTGACCTTGTTGGGAGAGTAATCTCATAGGACGACACGTTGAATCATTTTTTATGTTTCATGTGTCATATTTTATTCATTGAAAATGGATTGCAATTTCATTGGTCCCACCTCTCACAGCATCTCACAGAAATTTCCTGCTAAAGGAAATATCAGTTGAAATAAGCTATTAGTACTTCCTTCATTCTTAATTCTTAAAGAGGTACGTACAAATTTATCTTTAAAAGAAAACAGCAAGCCGAAACCATTTTGGCTCAGTGGATAGAGCTTCGGCCTGTGAACTGAAGCGTCCCAGTCAAGGGCATGTACCTGGTTGTGGACACATCCCCAGTAGGAGGTGTGCAGGAGGCAGCTGGTCAACGTTCCTCTCTCATCGATGTTTCTAACTCTCTATCCCTCTCCCTTCCTTTCTGTAAAGAAATCAATAAAACATATTTTTAAAAAATAAATAAAAACAAACAAAATCCACAGTCATGCATTTCTTAACTATGTGTGAGGTTGTGAAGAGATAACAGGTGACACATCGAAGCTACATATTTTAACAGGCTTCTCCTAGAGGTATATGACATGACAACCCAGGTGAGGAGATAGGAAGAGGTAGGAGAAAATGGAAAGTTATCTGGTAAAAGGGAGCCATCCGGTTTGAGGGGATTATACAACCAATATATTTAGTAAAACCTTAACAAGGAGAATACGGCCAACCAAAAGATGCTTACCTTTGCACCCCTCACAGGTCAGCGCGTTATAATGGTATCCGGATGCTCTGTCTCCACAAACAACACAGAGCTCATCTCCTTTGATTCTCCCCGCGGACATGCCCATTCGAGCCTTCTTTGTCACAGGAATCTCAGCTACCTCAGTCTCTCCCTGGTAGAGGGTCTCGGTGGGCAGTGGCTTGAGTTCATATATCCCAGGAGAGTACCACTCTTCAGGCTGCTGGGGGTAGAAATTCAGGCTGGAATAATAGGATGATGAGGAAATCTGTGGTTGAACTTGAGGAAACTGGATGTTGTTGTATTGTGAGTATGGTTCCACTTCTAGATTCTGCCCCAGAGGACCTGTTGTTGGCTCTGTTAGTACGCCTGAGCAAAAGGGACAATAAAACTGGAATTAACATGATCACTCTATAAATCAAAGAGGCAGTTAAGCATACAGCATGTTTAGGAGTGTGGGCTCTAAAAAAAAACTGGAATATTTACATAAAAATGAACCTTTTTAACATAAAATAAAACCATAGAGAATTAAAGGACTAAATTACAAATTCAGCTCAGAAAAATGTGTACAGCATACAAATAATGTGTAAAGAGTGCATACAAACCAGTAATACTCAATGTGGCACAAAAAAAGATTTTTAAAAAAAGCATTCAACATGCAAAACATTTAACCTTCCATGGACAAATGATAGAAGACATAAATGGTTAGTTTTTAGAAATAAAAACACAAGTGTGTTATAAAGACATAAAAATGTGCTCCTCCTTGCCAAAAAAATTTTTAAATAGAAACTGCAATCAGTGTTCATCCTTAAATATTCAAGGATTTAAAAAGTTTGATAATACACACTCTTGAGAAAGCAAAATTCTTGGAGGACAATCTGTCCATATCTTTCAGCATCTAAAACTCAAATAATCTTTTAGCACAACAATCCACTGCTAGAAAATTCATCTCAAAGACAGGATTTAATCTGAATGATGAAATGTTTGTGTGAAGTGTTCATTTGCAGCAATGTTTGCAAGCATCATAAATTTAAAATGATTTAAATATCCATCAATAGGAGTCTGGTTAAACAAATTATATTATGTTCCTACACTGAAATACTTTGTAGATGTGAAACAATCATTTAGATCTGTATTGGGCAGATGTGGAAAAGTTTCTATAATATGGTGCTTCATGGAAAAAAATAAGCTATAGAATGCTGTGTATATTTATATGAGTGTTAAAAAACACTGTGTGTATGTAAGGCTATTTTTTGCAGAGTGCATAAGGAACTGATGATGGCGACTGTGGGAAGTGAGATGGTTGGGTTGTTTTCTGTGGTGGGAGATTGCACAATCTTTTTACTATTTGTAATTTTTCCATATATGTGTGTTGCTTTAATTATAAAACAAAGGAGAAGCTTAAAAAAGAGAATGCAGTACTTGAAATTAGTTTACCAGGGTTCAAATCCTAGCTTTGTTTTATTACTATCTGTGTATGCTGACAGTTTACTTACCATCTTTAAGTCTTGGTTTTGTCTTTATAAAACAGAGTAAAACACCTACCTCAATCGGTTGACATAAGGATTCAACAAGGTAATGCATGCAAAAGGCAAGCAGGTTGCAAATGTGTGCATACATAAAGCGCTAGATAAATTATAGCTGCCATCACAATAGTAATCGTAATTATTCCTCCTGCCCTTATGAAATGAGCCCCTTTCTATAAAACCTCTAGGAAACAGAAAGCTACCAGGCTGTGAAAATGCTTCTATTTTCTAGAAACATAAACTATGGCTCTTTAGAATATAGCAGTACTTAAATTATACAAAACCTTTTTTTAAATGTTATGGACATAAATAAGATAGGCGAGTATACAAGTAGGTCTGATTCTTCAAAGTAGTCAGGCAACCTTAGACCAAAATTCCTACTCCATCTCTGTGAACAATGAGACTCTGAGTAAATTAAACTATTGATAACCTCCATTTTTACAGCAGTAGGCTTTTGATGAAAATATCTATATCAAGCGTTGCTGAAGATTGAGATAATACAGATCCACAATTCCTCATCTGAAACCCTTGGAGTCACCTGTATCTTCAAATTCAGAGTTGTTTGAATCTTATAACACAATGCAGTGCTATTTCTCACAGAATGGTCTGGGGCAGAACCCAGAATCAAACAGCAATATTTCCCACAATGCAATGTATATATGCTCACACTAAGAGAATAAATAAAGGTCATAAATACTCTCAGTTCATTCAGGTCAGGTTTTGCCACAAAAGAAGTTTGTGCCACACTTGGGGGTCGGGGAGCGGAGGCTTATTTTTTAGAGTGTTTGGAATCTGGAATTATCAATTAGGGATTGTGGAACTCTGCATCTATGCATGAAGAATGCTCTTTATAGTGCTCAAAAGATGGTTGCTACTGTTGTGCTTATTACTATTGCTGTTAGAAAACTTTATCAGAGAGTTCTTCCTAGTGTCAGGCAACTTGTCTATCACTTCCTTCTCACAAAATCCTATGAGGAACGTAACATTATTACCCCACTTGCAAATCATTAGCCTGTGGTATAGGGAATTTAGGCAGCTTTACTCCTACCCACCTAAGTAGCTGAGCTTTGAACTTTGGGAGTCAGACCTCAACGCCCATATGCTGAACTATTCTCTCTAGGAAAATTTCAGATGGGTGATGCTTTAGAGAAGGGTGGGGTACGTTCGGCCTGCAAGCCAGATAAGGCCCACAAATCATTTAGTCTGGCCCTGCCAAGGCAAAAGGGGTGAGTTAATTAAATGTTCAACCAAATATAGCAGGCTAATTTTTATGTTGATAATTCGTTACAAATATTCAGAAATATTTATCAAACCTTGGTAGAAAAAGGTTCCTCATATCTAGATTTTATCCTCCAAACCATCTTACCCCTAATCAACTCTACATCCCCACCCACAAACCCCAGTTTCTTTCCACCTACATTTCCAGGAAGGTTAAGCAACTTGCTTGAGATCAAACAATCAATTAAGGTCAGAATCTGGATTCTGTAAAGTCCAAGGAAATATGCAAGTTTTTCTCCTCACATGACAATTCCAAATCTCTGAGCATTATTCCAGCAAAACAAATCTTTTAATAATCAAGAGACACAATGAAGTCCCAACACAAATCACATCAACATATCAATATCATATCAATCTCTGGAATCATCTCAATTAAAATGGAAAGCTTTCACAAAGACATCAATTCTATTACATGAAAACAACAGAACAGGCAAGAATATGAGGTCAGTGCACATTATTAATAAATAATACCTCTATTCCCAAAGCACACCTACGTCTAGTGTTTCACAGTGTCTCCACCAAATCTCTACAGAGTAGACAATAAATATAGAGAGAATTTACAGTTTAAAAAAAAAAACACCATAGCCAATTTATTTCAAAATGGGGCACTGAAACAACTTCTGAGAGACCTGGAGCTGCTGTGAGACCTTGAGGTATTGCCTAACATTTTTGTCTCAATTTCTTCTGTAAAATGGAGCTATTAATCCCCCAGCCTTGCAATCTCCTAAGGTAGTCTGAGTATAAAATCACAGTTAGCGGGAAAAGTTTTGACAAGATGAGTGCCATAAAAAGATATGTCTGTTTCCTAAGGAACCTAGCAAAATCCCAACTCTCATGATAGTTCATTAGTAATTGTTCATACTTATCAGTCTGTTTTGATTATATAAGTTATAGGATGCTTTTTCACTAATGTATATATCTTGAACACTTATTATTTGCTAAACACTCAGCTAGGCTCTGAGAATAATCAGTAAGACAGACAACAGAAAAGGCCACAGCCAATCGTGTGTGTGTGGTGTGTGTGGTGTGTGTGTGTGTGTGTGTGTGTGTGTGTGTGGTGTGTGTGTGTGTGTGTGTGTATGTGTGGTGTGTGTGTGTGTGTGTGTGTGTGTGTGTGTGTGTTGTGAAGGGAAGGTCAAAGACTGAGATAAAACCAAGTAAACAAACAACTGATAGAGCATAAGACATGAGGGGGCAGAGGCAGTAAGTCAAGTTTAGAGCGTGCTTCCTGAAAAGGAAATTTAATTTCTACATTAATATAATTTAAAGGGAAACACTTTAATTTAAAGGGATGTATATATAATTTAGAATTTGTGAGTATTTTCTTGGAGTCAGTTTACCAAGGAGTTTGAAATTGAATTCCTTATTACAAGAATTCTACGTGAATGAAAATATGAGAGTTGAGGGAACATGTGGATGGGTTCAGGGTTGTCTGAGACATCCTGCACAGGAAAGCAAAATTCTCCTGAGTAGAGAAACTCTAGCATTTAATAATTTTTTCTGGAGGAGCACCATCTAAGGGAACTTTAAGATGCTGAAAGTGTGCTATACCTATCAGCACATTAACTACGCACCATATGGAATACTGAGCATTTGAGACATGGCTAGTGATCATGAAGGAATGAATTTTTCTTTTAATTTTAAATAATTAAAATGTTAGTGAAATAGCTACATGGCTATTTAACGATATATAAATGCAGCTTCAAGGAATCTATGGCCACAGCACTGTGTGCCCACATGGGAGAATCAGGTCCTGTAATAACAATGGCACTTCCCGTGATCGCACAACTTCTGAGCCTCATAAAGATCCAGGTTTTATCTGGTTTTTCATTTCTGGCACAATGCCAACCATAATAAAAATATCATGAATGTTTATTAGAAAGTTTCATGAATGGGAAAGTTGCCTTTGCTCCCTCATTTATTTCCCAATTCATGGATACTTAATTGTATAGACCAGCTTCATTGGTAGAGTTGTTTGCTTTTCCTGATGTCAGGGCATGTGATGTTGGTGCCTCTCGTTGGCTGGTCAGCTAACACCTCCTTCTTGAGGTCTGCCTAGGCTCCCCTAGGTAGGGCTAACTTCTCCTACCCTCTATACACATTTCTACTACGGCAGCTTTCAATCATTTGTGTTCATTTACAGGCTTATGTTCCATGCTAAATTTGAGGTGGAATGACGTACTGGTGGCCAGGGTCCTACTTCATGCCCAACTCTCAATTCCACTCAATCACAATTTGCTACTTTTGACACAGCATTAACATTCAATGTGTTTTTGTTACTGTTGTGGTTACTCTGTGAACTCTTTGGAGAATATATTATATTATATTATATTATATTATATTATATTATATTAATTATATTATTTTATATTATATTAATTATATTATATTATTATATTTTCTCCCCCCCCCCTTTTTTATTTTTATCCCTGGCACCTTACATAAAGCCTGACACAGTACAAATGTTTAATCAATGTTAAATAGAAATAATAGAAAACTTTCATCCCCAGACTTTCAAGTAATTTCCATTTCTAAATACAGTATCAGTCACTTCTAACCATCGCA